AGTCTTGAAGTTATTTGAGTGATTTGGATGAAATTTTAAAAACACAAATAAAGATCTTTAGGTGATTTGATAAGATATCTAGTAAAGATTTTAAAGTAGTTTAGGTGATTTGAGAATTAAAGGATGTGAAGAAAGTTCTGAACCTCACAGAAGTGTTGTTAGTCATCGATGCTATGACTGGACAAGAAGCTGCATGATATACTATATACATACGACATATTACCGACAAGTTTACCAACTAGTTGTTGGTAGTTTACAATATATTACCACAGACTAATGTTTATTGAATATGTTAAAACTATGTCAAACATTAATCTACTGAATGAATCAAAAAGAAAAAAACTGCCTTCTCTTCAACAACGTATCCATAAAGAAGTTGAGAGATGGTAGATCGAACTCTTGCATTGTTTAAAGCTCCTCTTAGCTTGCGTTCGAGAGTATTAGCCAACACATCGTTGATTTGGCTCCACAACTATACAAAAGATAAGGATAAGGAGAGTAAGAAGTATAAAGAGAGTAAAAGTGAGAAGCTTTATGATGGTGATGATCACCATAGATCTAAGGGTTCCTCTGATAAAACTGGTATGATAATCCCAAAGCCTTTTAGTTTATGTCTTTGGATGTTCCTTTTGAGACACAGTTTTGGTTGCAGTCTGTCGAGATTCATTTTTTTCTCTTGTGTTTGTGTATGAATTAAACATCATGGTTTAATTGACTTGAGTTTGTGACTTTGTGTTTGATGTTCCTTTTGAGACACATTTTTGGTTGGTCTGTCATGATCCATTTGGTTTCCCTCGTGCTTGTGTATGAATCATTGTTCTGGTTTTATTTGACTTGATTGCTTATCTTTGATGTTGCTTCTGAGACACATTTTTGGTTGAGCCTGTGAAGATCCATCTGTTGTCTCTCGTGTTTGTGTATGAATTGTGGATAATAAGCTTACATGATACCTTTTCTAGTAATGAGAATCTTTACATACCTAAGTGTAGTCTTTTGGATCAATGTTGTGATTAGCACTTGCAGATATATGGAGTTAGTGTTGCTTTAATTGTTATAATATTCGAGGCAGTATGTAACTGGTTAAAAACTTATATGAAAAAATTGCAAACGCTAGTTAGTTAGATGTTTTATATAACTGAAGGATTTTGGAAACTGCAAAAGGTTATCTTTCATTGGGTTTATTGATCTTTAAGTTTATTTTTGGATTCAGAGTCGAAAGGTGAGGATCAGCAAAGGAGTCTAGGCACTGAAACCCATACTGAGAAGCGATCAAGGCGTAAGAGGGATGATCATGGTGTTGGAGAGAAAGGAAGAAAAGAATTACACTTTCTCGGTCTACTTACACTTTCAGACATTCAGGAATTTAGCAAAGGAAGAAAAGAAGGAAGCAAGGGACCCAAGGTATGAATTAGAATACACTTTTATTGCCTTTCTTTTGGTAACCTGATCAAATAGTTGAACCACTGCTTTGGTTTAGGAGATTTTGGTTAATGATATATATTCGATGAGTGGAGGAGGATCTAAAGTGTCGTGGACTGTGACACCTGATATGGATCTTCTCGCTGCCCAAACAATCATGAACAAGCATGAAATATCTCATGTTCCGGTCGTTTCAGGCGGCAGTGATTCTCACAGAATACACCCTGTTGGGGTCCTAGATAAAGAATGCATCACTGTAACACGCAGGTATGCTTACATCTATTATTCCTTAAGTTTGAACTTCTTCATATGGAATCATTTTTTGAACTTCTTCTCCCATTCCCGTGCAGCTACTGCACTGGAGATGATTTCTAATTTTTCTTTGGTTTGATCTGGCAGAGCTCTAGCAACCAGGATGCAAAAGCCTATGCTTCCCTTCTCAATGTTCTTGCACCTGAACACTGCGATCCAGCTACTCTAAACGCCGAGGATGATCTCGAAAGGGCTAACATGGTCCTTGAACACGCAGAGAGAATGAACTGCAAACGGTACTTGACTGCAGAAGAGATAGTTGAGAACTACTACTGAAACATTTAGTAGCTTAGGGACTTTTGTTTCTAATGACAAAAGTGCTTTGGAAATGAGGCTATACTTGTCTTGAAATGAGGCTATATCAATGAGGATTATGGAAAATTAGACATATCATTCTATGACGTTAAAAAGGTTTACAAACTAATTATTGAAATATGATTATAAATGAATTATACAATGATTATAAACTAATTAGAAAGGCGTATAAACTAATTTATAAAAACTTATAATTAATTTATAAGGATTTATAAAATCATTATATAAGGTTTCTAAACTGGTTTGTAAAGGTTTATAAACTAATTTAATAAGGTTACTAAGTTAATGTATAAAAAGTTTATAAAATGATTCATAAAGGTTTATAAGTTAATTTAGAAGAGATAAACTAATTTATAAAGGCTTATAAACTAATTTAAGGGTTTAGAAGTTTTTATAAATCTTTATAAATTTACTTTTTATTCTTATAGATGTTTTATAATCCCTAATAAATTATTTAAACGCCTTTATAAAATGTTTTAACTTTATAACTGAATTACCTTTAGAATTTACAAGTCCTTATAAATGATTTTATAAACCCTTATAAATAATATTATATATTCTTATAAATGATTTATAGATTATAATAAAAAAATATATATTCTTATAAATTATAAACTCTTGAAAATAGTTTAGAATTTAGAGAAAGTCTTTTACAAATCCTTGCAAATGATTTATAAATATTAATGGTTCATAAAAAGTTTTATAAACTATTATAAATGGTTTATATACAAAACTATTGTATATATTCATATGATTTATTTTATAAACATTTATAAACAAACATGAATAGCTTTATTAATCATTATAGATACTTCCTTCTTGCAAATACAATTGATCCATCGAAGAATATACATAAATAAATTGAAAGATGGATCATACTAAATGGCGTATTTCTTGGCATATGTGATGAGCATTTTGGTTGTAGTGACTGGCAAGGCTTAGTATACACAGTATATGAGGTGGAAGGTTAGTGTTTTGGAAGTGTAACGTTATGTTTTGCTACTTATGAGATTCATGTCTTGTATGTGTTTTGTGTAGAATATCTAGACAAACAGTGGAATTGTAGCATGAGTTTGTTGAGCTACAAAACTGTTTTTTATATTCATATGATTGGTTTTATAAATCTTTATGAAGACACATAAATAAGTTTATTAATCATTATAGATACTTCCTTCTTGCAAACACAATTAATCCACTGAAGAATACATAAATAGATTGAAAGACAGAACATATGATGTATTTTTTATGAATGATTTAGGGACTTTAGGACTTTATAGAGGCATGAAGAAACAAATTGTTTACATACCCTTTATAAAAGGTTTATAGACTCTTTATAAATGATTAATAAGCAGTTATAAATGGTTTCTAAACTTTCTAAGAACTTTTATGAACTTTATAAATGTTTTATAAACCCTTATAAATTATTTACATGCCTTTGTAAACCTTATAAATTATTTACATTCCTTTATAAGCCTTTATAAATGGTATAGACTTACAAATAATTTTACATATCTTTATAAATTGTTTTATAAACCTTTATAAAGGTATATAATCTTTATAAATTGTTTTTATAAACATTTATACATACCTTTATAAACCGTTATAAATTATCATACAAACCATTATAAATTGTTTTATAAACCTTTCTAAATGGTTATATATTATTTTAAATGATTTAGGGACCTTTTAATTGCTCTCTAAACCTTTTGGACATGTTAGCATTATGGCTATAGGTATAAGTACTTGTACATGGTTTTATAAACCCTTATAAATAATTTTATAAACCTTTCTAAATATTTATAAGTGTTTTATAAACTTTATAAATATTCATACAAGGTTTAATAAACTTTATAAATATTCATACAAGGTTTTATAAACTCTTATAAAATTGAAAAATGGTTCATAACACTACTTCTCCCTCCTTCCATTGCTCTCTCTTTTCCACACTCCTCCTTCCATTCTCCCTCCTTCCACTGGAAATTCCCTACAAGCATATTCAAAGCTGAGACTCGCTGCCACAAAATGAATAGGATTGTACAACAGTTAAAGAAGACAAGACCAACCAGAGAGTTTGGGATTGAACGTTTTGAAGGAATAACTGATGCTCTCCTCTGTTACATAGCATCAAGTAATGGATTTCGGACCAGTCGCATGGGGAAGATGTGTTGTTCCATACGCGGAGAGACGGTGGGTCTCCGAGAGCGCGCTTTAGGTCAAGGAGGGTTGACCGTTCGTCGAGCTGGGAAATTACGAAAAAGGGTAGTGAGGTGAGGAAGACGAAGAGGAGGGGTAAGTGTAAATGGGTCATATTGTGGTTTTGGTTGGTTGGGGTTTTAAAGTAGCCGAGACAACCCTCCCAGGTGGTTTCGCCGTACTTGTTCCAGCTTCTGAAGAAATCACAGGCTTTTTAACGAGAGGCACTTTAGTGTCTTTATCTGATGAAGTTTTAACCGCAGCGTAAGCCTCGTCTTGTGTTACCCAACGTCCTGTTTCATTACCAGTGTAAGCACAGACAAAGAAATAATAGTATGTTTGATAGCAAGTGAAGGAAAAAGCCTGATAAAACTATAACATACCTATCGAGTCACTGTAGTAGAATCCAGACTTTGAGTCATAGTGCAGACCATTGATCTGGTTGTAATAATAGCCCGAAGCAGCGTCAAGAACCCAATCTGCCATAACAATATGATTACTACATGAGACGAAATAACACATCTATGAGCTAAGAAAAGTTTCAATCAAAATGGTGAAAGAACCTGAAGAGTGACTCAAAAGAGGCAACCATTTCGCTCACTGGTGATGATTCTCTATACAGTAGTTATAGGCAATTAAAACTTATAGTAGTAAAAAAAGTCTTTTTGCAAACTGTGTAAGACACAATGGAAGAATCAGAAGTTGCCTATGACTCACATATTCAATTCCATTGATCTTTAAAAAGAATGGCAGCTAAAGCAACAACCGGTGAACTTAACAACAAAACATGCTAATGGGAGACACAGATGATAAGAGAGATACTTACCATGTGTACCATCCTAAGGTGCACCGTTTGCTTTGGAAACTTCATGAGCAGTTGCTATGTCTTTCTGATAGCTACGACTTGCTTTCTGAAACAGATACAATGGGATCAAATCAATAAGTTGATTGACAAAAGAAACAAGAGATGATTAAAACTACTTACAGCTTCGATCTGTTGGAGGAGTTTCTCGTTTTTTTTTTAGCTCTTTGTGTTTGGCAGCGCTCTTCTCACGCATATCAGTGAGCTTCTTCTCGACACATTCACGGTGATGTTTACCGAGCTCATGCTTTCTGGTACTTGCTCACGCCATCTTCTTCTTCTTCTTCTACGAAAACACAAAGTAAATTGTACTTTACCTAACTCCTGCAGATGTAAAAGTAGGCTCAAACCCATGAACAAAGCAACACACACTATGACCTGATAACACACACACACATCAGTTGCATCACTAAGCCTTTTTAATTTCTAAATCTTGCAGAGAAGAATCGTTATACCTTCTCTGGTTACACCAAAGATTCTGATGACTGCAGCTTCTCTGATGTTATATTCATCTTCTTCTTCCCACGGCATGATTTTCTCCAAGTACATGATTATGTCTGTCCCCGTCCTTGAACCGTGAACAGACTGAAACGCCGGAGGTTTAGATTTAGAAGAGGAAGACAGCAACATAGAGAAGGTGTTGTTGACATGACGCTGATTCAGGTTGACGTTGTGTCTAGCCACAGGAGAGGAGAAGGAGGAGGGGTGAGGGGTGAGGGGTGAGGGNGCATGATTTTCTCCAAGTACATGATTATGTCTGTCCCCGTCCTTGAACCGTGAACAGACTGAAACGCCGGAGGTTTAGATTTAGAAGAGGAAGACAGCAACATAGAGAAGGTGTTGTTGACATGACGCTGATTCAGGTTGACGTTGTGTCTAGCCACAGGAGAGGAGAAGGAGGAGGGGTGAGGGGTGAGGGGTGAGGGAGAGACATGGCGACTTCGTTCTTCCACGGATTTGAGATCTGGCAAGTAGAGAAACGGTGTGGCTTTGAATCTCGATTCTCCGGAATAGACTTGATTGTGTCGCTGGCTACGTGAGAGAGAGAAGATTGCGCGACGGCTGATTATGTGAGGAGCTGATTGTGTGAGGAGCTGATTTTGTCGCCGGCTCTGTGAGAGAGAGACGCTCGATCTCGTAGCCGCCGGATACTTACGAGAGAGAAGACAATGGTTAGGAAAAACAAGGTAAGGTTAGTATAGTCTTTTACATATTAATGATTGAGGTATTTATGAAAATGTCTCCCTTCTTGAGGTAAAAGTGAATTAGTGTACCTAATAATGTGTATTTATGCAATTCTCCCATTTGAATAAGCAAAAGAAATTTAGGCTTACACTTATGTTGGCAGAGCTAATGCTAAAACAAAAAAAAATTAACATTTATATGAGTATTGATCACAAGATAACAATTTTGAAAATTTTCACAGTTGAGAAAAATATAAAAAGGAATTTTTAAATTACGCAGCCTTTTCTAAAAATATATATTTAGACCTAAGCTTGGAACCTAAGCATAAAAAATTATCAAACAGTTAAAAACTTCTAAATTGTTAAAATCAATATATCAGATGTTTAATATCTAAGTTAATTCTTTTAAAAAATGACTTTCGTATAAATAAATTTGAAAAATTTAGACAAATTTGGAAATTATGTAAAATTTCAACTAACAAAAAAGATGATTCTTAAACATATATAATAACTATTAATATAAAAGTGCCGAAAGAATATAAAATATGGATAAGAAAAGAATTTCAGGTAATAATAACTAAAAAAATATAACTAAACATATAAAAAATATTGGGAATATAATGGCAAAATTTACATTATACAAAGGTAAAATTTTAAATCGAGAAAAAATGAGTTTGTTATAAATAAATGGAGGTTGAAAAATTTGTGGGACTAATTATATAGGATGAAATAAGTATTTTATAAAATTACTAAACATTGACAATTGGAAAAAAAAATCATGTTTGTGAAGAATATTTATCCTAAAATATATAAAGATTAAGAATTCATATTAATTAACCATATGCGATATGTTTTAAATTAAAGAACTTACTTTAACTCCATAAAAAATTTCAAAATTTCAAATGAGAAGTAACAAAAAAATTACAAAGGCTGCATGTTAATTAACTTGCAATATGACTATATAAGTAAAACCAATATATAGAAAATAAACCCACGCGTAATAAATATGACTATATAAGTAAATACTTGATTTTTTTTAACCTAATATCCATAGAATTGTTACGGAATCTACAGCTTTAAATGTTACATTAGTCTCTAACATAAAACTTGAACAGTTTGGAGATAATGACGGTGTTGATTTCTAATGGGTAAAATAATTATGGGTTGATATATTATTTGTTTATAAACAGTGTATACTGAAATTTCAGTTGTTACAATGCATAGATGATGACGATGAAACTAGATAGCCACTTTGGTGGAACAATGAGGAAAGAAGTTGGCGTTACAAATATCCTAATGAATTGGGTTTTAAAAGTGTTTTGTGGAAAGTATCTGCGATCAATTGGAAGAAGTTTAAAGATTTCAGGCTTTAAATTGAAAATTCAAAGCATCTATTGACCAATGAAAAGCATGGACGAAAAATAAAGAAAAAGGAGTGACAAACACTATCCATATAATATATAAATGTAAAAATTAATGGAAACTTGAATCTAATACATACTGGTTAAAAACTTTATTAGATGTTTCAAATTAATAAAAATTAATATGTTTCTCATAATAGGTAGCACATTTTTACTTTAACAAGACAATAAAAATCGCCAATGACTTCAAAAATATAAAAAGATTAGAGCATGAGGTTCAATACATGTGATAGAGCAACCTCTCATCTACACCTTATCTCAAATATAACAGTCGCATAAACACATCTAATAACATCTTTTGACATTATCCACACTGTTTTTATCCTTCTTTCTGACCAAACATATTGTGCTTATTCTAAACTCAAGTTTGGAACTTTTGCAAACTAAAAAAATTAATTTACTACAAAAGTGAGAAAATCTATATGCAACATTCAAACAGAAAAGCATACCATGTCTCCACTCATATACTATGTTCTATATATTACATAGTTTATATACATATGATACTTCTGTAATATTTTATATTCACACAACATTACTAATTATAATATTCAAAAACTAATTTTTGGAAATACTTAGCATAACTTGAGCTTGGCGAAAATATTTAGTTCAACAAATAATGGTTTAGTGAGAATACGTAATATAATCAAAAATATAACTTCAGATTGAATAACAAAGAAAATATTAAAAAGAGAAAATACATTTACAACAGCATTTCCACGTTTCATCAAACTCATGTCAACAAAATAAAAAAAGGAAAACTCACCTAAAATTTTCCGCATTTTTGTGTCTAATATTTGTTGAAGTTAAATAAAAACAAATGAATTAAGATTAACAAAAATAGAATAGTCCAATTGCTACAATACAAATTAATTAAGGAAAGAGAATCTTTTAATTTTTATAATACAATGAAAGAGAATATTTTAATTTTTATATTTTTGAACTTATACATTTTTTTGAACTTTTTAATTTTTTTGCAATGTTATTAGATTTTTATGTATTTTATTATTTTTTATTAATCTTTATTATTTTATTCATTTTTACCTGTAAAATGAACAGTATCAATCACATATGAACACAACATTATGATCATTTACAAAAGTGATATACAGTTAATCATATATAATTTTAACTCTATAAACTAATACTCGATGAATTAATAAAAACGACAAAAAATAAATTTATTTCAAAGTAGACCAATGGAAAATAAGACATAGTTTGATAAGATGTTTTAATATTTTAAAAAATTATTAGTTAAATATATGACCATATTAAATCATAAATTCATAGTTATCACATATATAAATTTCATATAAACATAAAAAAAAAAACATAGCAATTGTTCCAAAATTTCTATAATTACTATTTATATGAAATTTTTAAACATATAAATTTCATATAAACATAAAAAAAAACATGAATTTATTTTAATTAAAATAAATTGTATTTTGATTTAGAATAAAGCACACGAAGAGTGGAAAATCTAAATAGAAATTGTTCGTAGAAATTCCAGCAAGCAAAAACTAAATTATCTATTACATTCTACATGTTCCTGTTTTTGATTACATATTTTGTTAAACAATTTAAATTATCAATAAAAAATAATTAATTTTTTTTATAAAATGTAATCCGCGCGTAGCGCGGACAAATGATCTACTATTAGATAAATTTCCTAGGATAGTTCTATTTAATTTATTTTTTACAAAAAAATAACCTCCAAGAGAAAAATGAATAGAAGAAATTTACTTCAAAGGTAAATAATCTAGGATTTAATGTTTAAAATTAAAGGATGGGATTTTGGGTGTGGAGTTTAAGATTTTTAAAAAAAAGTATTAAAACTTTTAAAATAGTTTTCAAATGTATTTCAAATTACAGAAAAAAAATATTTTAGAAAACACTGAAGAGAAAAATGACTCATATAATTTGAATTTAAATGTAAATCTATACTCCAAATTCAACCAAATGAAAAAGGGGAAAAAAATCCCCAAAAAAAATGTAGTGAAACTAAAACCAGTCATTTGTCATCAGACAAAAACATGTAAACATTTTGATGATTATATCTCTAGAAGTCTTCTCTGGACAAAAATTCTTAATAAATTTACTTATATATTTGATCGTAAAATTAATTATACGATTTCTAAAAGACTTAATTTGATTAAAAAAAATTGAAATCATGTTATTATTAACAATTCTAAATTATGTAAATTTAAAATTATTAAATTAATTTTTTTACAACATAGAAGTAGAACATAGATTGTAAGTCATGATGGTCCATTCATATTTCGTATATATTAAATATTTTATAAATTAATTTAATATTTAATAAAATATTAGTTTTTATTTAGTTAGTTATTTAATTTCAGAGATTCAGAAACTTTTTAAGAAGTAGCGGATAGTAAATTTAGGGTTGAAGTGTGGGTGTCCGTGGCTATAGAGAAGCCATTCGTTTGATAAGAGAAATAAACTAAAATAACACTTTCAAAACCAAATTCGAAAATGGTTGTTTTTAGAGAGATTTACAAGCTGGGTCACATTCTGTGTTTGTGTAACACAATGGGTCAGTTTGGGTTCCCTAGGCACTTTATTTGTGTTAAAAGTCTAGAGTGGCCTTGAAACCCAAAACCAAGGTTTGTTTAGCTAGTGTGTCTCGTTAGGTTTTTTTTGTTTTTTGAAATTTAATTTTTTTGGTTTTTAATTTGTTGGTTCCATCTCATTTATTTCTATATTCTCCCCCGACGTTCTGTTTTCCCTAATCGAGGAGATTGCAACGGCGAATCGAAAGACGACGACGAAGTAGAAAGCGACGGCAAACGAGATCTCTAACCGGAGGGGAACTTTCGATGACGACAACGCGGAGGCGCGATGGAAAACAACAAGTACCTGGTGAGATTCTAGACCTTTAACTTTCCTTTTATTTTTCGGTGGATTGGGACAATCTGATAATCTGTTTCCTCTAGAACATCATTGGTATTAGTCCGAGTAGTTTGTATCTTGTAGAGAAATTATTGTCGAAGTTGACTATTTGACATTTTTGTTTGTAACGGTTATTAAGTTTCTCTGTTTTGTTACTTTGCAGAGGATTTAGACCTAGCAGATGGCCCAGATGAAAGGTTACCGTTGAGGCTTTTTGCGACAAACAGATATCCAAGCAGGCGTCTTAACGTCTTTTCCAGAGTCGAGTACCTTTTGGTGGTTAGGGATGTTTTGAAAGGGTCTCCTGAGATGGATAAGTTACTGAATTCCTGTTTTGGAGGGCTGTTTGACCTCCCGGTTCGCAGGTGTAGTTATTCTTTAGTGATGATCCACGCGATGTTGGCGAGGCAGGTGGTTACGAAGAAAAAATACGAAGCTTGGCCGGTGTTTGGAGGGGAACCACTCCATTTTTCTCTGGTGGAATTTGGGAACGTCTTTGGGCTTCCATGCGGTGAGTTTGAGGATGGGTATGTACCTGATTTCCAGCCAACGTACAAAGAGGAGGATTATGTGTACTGGGATAAGTTGTTCGATGGTAAAAGGGACATAACAATCCCAGAAGTAGTAAAGATGGTGGTTGAGGACAAAAGTCTTTCACGATCAAGGAAGCTGAAGTTGTGTTTGGTCATAATTGTTGATGGTGTCGTAATTGCGTCTTCTCAGCCACCTCGCCCTATGGTCAAGCATGTAAAGCTGGTTGAAAGCGTGAAGAAGTTCTTGGAGTTCCAATGGGGCAGGGAGTCCTTTTATTGGACAATTAGCACCATGATTCCTGGGAAGAGAATCATTGGCAAATGTGATGATCATGTAGGAGAGTTTTGCATGAAGCTTAGGCAGAACACCAAAAAAATGTCAGGATTCCCATTAACTCTACAGCTTTTGTTGTACCAGTCGGTTCCCCAATTCGTGGCTATGCTTGGCGGTGATGATGAGCTCAAGCTTATAGACTGCGAAAGGCTCAACCTGGTTGACGTTTTAGCGGCTGAATACCACCCAGAAGTAAAGTTTTTAGTTAATGATGTTTTGTTGTACATTTTGTGTAGCGTACAGCTGTACGCCGGAGGTTTTTTTTTCTAGGTTTGTACATAGATACAAGTTGTATTCGTGTTGGTATGGTGTACATTTGTACGACCATTTCGAATTTAGTTAATGATGCTTTGTTGTACATTTCTGTTGATTAATTTATTTAATTTTTTTTTGCCCTGTGCGCAGTTAAAGGTGCAGCCACAGATGGAGGTGGGTGATGACCAACCTGAAAGGTGGGGTGTGTGGGATGATGAGATAGAAGATAGGAGAGTGAAGTACATGGTTGGTCTTATTGAAGCCAGACATACATTCAAGAAGTCAGATTGGGGTGGAGGTGATGCTAAGGAGGTTTTGTATAACCATGTTGAGTATCTCAGAAGTCAGGAGGCAGCCAAAAAAAAGAAAGAAGGAGGTTGTAAATGGGAAGAGGATAAATGGTGGACAACTCGTAATGAAACAGAAGAGGCTGAGTACTTATTTCAAGAAACGTCGTTTGGAGGATGATGATAGGATCAAGGAACTTACTGACCGAGTAGAGCGGCTAGAGAAGTTGGTAGAGATACTAACGAAGAAACTTCGTAGGAGGAAGAGGTCAGGGTTCACCCCTAGGAAGGATGTTTTTCTCAGTTTACATGGGAAGAAGAGAAAAATTGGAAAAAATCCTGACTTTAGTGGGGACCACACAAGGTATGATGATGATAGCCGTCGTGCAGAAGGTTTCATAGGTGGAAGTCCTGCATTTGATGTTGGTGAGGGGAGTGCTCCTGATTTGGTAGCAGAAGATTTAGGGGCACATGCACGAAACTTGAAAGATGAGAGTAGTCGAGATGAAGAGCCTGTGGATGATATGGCAATAGGGGTTGAGCCTATGGATGAGGAATATTTGGAAGCAGAGGCGAAGGATAGTGAGTCAGCTGGGGCAGTTGAAACTAGGTCAGCAAATCAGGGTGACGATGGATTAGGGGCAGAGCCTGGTGATGTTGACGAGGCTGATGTGGAAGGAGAGTCGGAGGACAGTGAGTCTTCTGGGGCTGTTGATAGTATGTCTCCTCCAAATGAAGATGATGTGGAGGAAGAGAATGTTGTGGAGGAAGAGGTGGATGGCAGTGGGTTATATGAGCCAGAGGATGAGGATGCTGTGGTTGAAGAGGCGGATGGCAGTGAGTTCTCTGAGCAAGAGGAAGAGGCGGAGTGTAGTGAGTCCTCTGATAGAAAAGATGATGATGCTGTGGAGGAAGAGGGTGATGGTAGTGAGTCCTCCGAGCCTTCTGACGTGGTCATACCACTTAAGGAAGGTGATGGGATTCCTAGACAGTGGGTTGTTGAAGGAGTGAAAGGTTATCGTGGTGCTATACTTTACTGGGCTACGACTAGTAACTTATTCTACGTAACAGATGAGGAGGTACGTGAAAATATTAGTTTTGTAAGTGTTTGTTTATATCTTTTTAAGTTCTATATTAACAAGTAATTTTTTATTTGTCAGGGTTCGACAGGTCATAATAACTATGGTGGTGGTTTGGTTATAACTGAGGAGGTTAGTTGTTGTTTGATCAATGTTTGGTCTGTCTGAGGTGTTATTGAGTGGGTGTGTGTGTTTTGCAGGGATGTTCGAAAGTCTCTGGGGGAGAGGTTTCTGAGAGTGGTACTGTGGCCAAAAAAATGAGTGGGGAGGTAGTTATTTATTTTTTTGTTCTGGTTTGATGGTTTTCAATGTAGTTGTTTCTAATTTTTTTTGGTGGTTAAGGATGTTGGTGGACTAGACAAGCTGATAGGGGCGATAGTGAAGGAACTTGTTGAATCATTTGGAGATGGAGAGAAGGAAGCAGATGTTGGGGGATGCATCAAGGTATAGTGTACCTGTGTACGGTGAAATGCATTTAGTGTACGCTTGTACAAAGGGTATTGAGTGTACATATGTACCCCTTAGTGGTGAGTACTGAAAAAAAAAAAAAATTCACCGGGTATAGTCGCAACTGGGGGATCAAGTTGTAGATAAGGACTTTCAGTGCGAAAGTGTTGCTGTATCAGAGGGTGGCGTTGCTGCGATTGCAGAACGTGGTGAAGAGGATCCGCACGATGAGGGGGCACAGGTATGTTGTTTTTTGTGTTTTAAAACTTTGATTAATATGGATTGAATGATGACTTGTTTGGTTTGTAGGTTTTCGACGCTGATGTGGGTGCGAATGAGAGCGTTACATGTCTGAGCGACTCGTCACCATGTGAACGTAGTGAGAAGCATAAGCCAGAAGAGTTGGAAGGGAATGTGGCTGCTCTATTGTCTGACTTGGATTGGTTTTTTTATTATAGAGAATGGGAATGGCTGATCGGTCATTTCGAAGCTGACCCTTTTTTTTGGTTTACGTGGCAGTATATTGAGGTTTTGGTAGACTTTATTAGTCAGAGGCATCATGATTGATTGGCGGAGAAGAGGGCTATGTTTGTCGCACCATGGTTTATGGACTGCCTAGCTAGCAAAGCGAGGGCCTTTAATGCTGCAACCTACAAGGGTAGAGTCTTCTCTGACCCAAAACTTGCGAGTTATTTGACTGCTGAAGGGAAGAAGCTTGGTGTGGATGTTGACTTTGTTTATGCACCGATGTTTTGGGGGACGAACCACTGGGTTGGACTGCGGATAAGAATAGCGGACTGGAGTGTTCTTGTGTATGATCCAGATAGAAGTCTTAGACCATTTGATGCTGTGATTTGTATAATGGTTCCTATAGGTAAGATGCTACCTTACTTAGTGCGAAAGGTTTGCCCCTCAGATCATTTGACGGGACATGAGCTAGAACCATTTGGAATCCAGCTGATGGCGGATGGATATCAGAACACCCGTAGTGGGGACTGCGGACCAGTTGCTATGAAACTTATGGAGCTGGCGGCAACTGAGGTTGAGGAGCCGGAGATTGAGGACCTGACAGACGAGTTGGTTGACTATTTCCGTAAGCAGTTTGCCATGGACGTGTACAGGGAGTGGATAGTTCCCTTGTACATGGGCGCGTTGAACTAGATATAAATGTTTAATTTCTTTTTTTTGTTTAACTTAAGGGGTTAGTATTTTGTGTTGTAAGATTTGTAACTGCCTATCTAATGTATTGAAACAGTTTGTACTGGAGACTATTAAGTGAAACGGATCAGTATTGTTGATGTTTATTTTGTATGTGTGTTTTGGTAAGAGTAAACCTACGACATAGATTTTTGAAATTGGAAGGACAGATGAGTACGAGGGCAGTTAGGTGTACAGATGTACAGTGTTAAGAAAGTGTTGTTGGATGTACACTGCCAGAACATAACATGTGTACTGATTAATACGAGTACATAGATTAGTATGGGAATCCTAGTACAATACAAGGTGGGTAAGAAAAGTACAATACAAGGGGGTAAGAAAAGTAGAATACATAGAAGTAGACAAGTGGAGGTCATAGAACATAGGTCAGAACATGATGTTTAAGACCCAAACTAGAGCAAGACCTTGTAGCAAAGGAAGAGGACAATCAAACATATGACCATGTTTCTGAAGCCTTAAAATTCCATCTTGAGACCTTGGATGTCCTGTTCAAATGCAGAGAGCTTAGCTTCTAATCGATGAACGAGTGTGGAGAAGGTGCGGCTTTCTAGTGTAATAGATTGTATTAGACTGGTGGAGTTACTTAAGCGCTTGCCATTTTCTGCAATAGCTGATTCAAGGTCCTGAATTCTTGGTTTTATATCATCTATCTCTTCAACCATCGATTCATCTGTCCATTTGAAAACATGGGACCGATTGTGCTACAGATAAGACATTAGAAATACAATTAAGTTAAAGATAATTTTGAGAAGGAGTAAAATTGTTGATTTTAGGACAAGCATGGAAAATCTCGTTGCCAAAGGGGCAGCTGTGAAATAGATTTTCCGGGTTGTTTCTGGTGCGAGATGTATTTCGTGAGACCCGGGAACCGCAGGTACAGTGGGCTGGGATTCCGTGGCCTGTGTCTACCATAATGAGGAGGCGATTTTTTTTGGAAAAAAGAGAAGGAAGATGAACCCTAATTTTGGGTTAGGTATCGTGTTTTTTCCAACTTTAAAGGGGTTGGGGACATATTTCAAAACGACGTCGTTTGGAAGTTGGTAAACAGTGGAGAAGAGGAAAGTGGGGGCTCAATTAATAAAAGAGGTAACTGTAGTAGAGTATGTTAAGTGGCTGTACAGCATCATGTGTGTAGTACAGTCGTTACGTTGTACATGTGTACAAACAATGAATGAATTTAAACTTGAAAGAACCAAATTAACAGAAGGCGTGCTGTTTAAAAAAGGATCAGTTTAGACATGCACAGTTGTTTTAGACATGTTACACCAAAAAGCTTACAAAAAAAAACAAAAGCACTGATCCGGGGTGAATTTGCTATCCAAAAGGCGGGAGCTATGGATATAAGATTCACCAATTTCAGATTGGGCGTACACAGCGAGTACGGTTATGACGGGTGCCACCACAGCGGCCACATTTGTTGGGAACTTGTTTGGTCTTCTTTGGAACCTAAGGAAACATAAAGAATATAAATGTGAGTATCCTCTTGGATAATAAGCGCTGGTTATTTTAAGAGGGTGTAGATAGGTACCTGAATCTCTTCGGTGGATAGTTTTCTTTTTTCCTGAGGTCGACCAGAGGGGCGACGGGTTTGAGGAGGGTGGATATTAAGATCTGAAATGGCTTTTGGGATTGGGTGGTCACCAAAGGGGGCTTCTGGGAGAATATAGCCAGTGTAGGTATCTATACAGGATTGTGTCTTGTAGCAATCACCAACCAATTGGTTGTAGGGAGACCAGCAGAGTCAGCTGCAAATAGAGCATGGCCACAAGGAATTTATGTTTTTGGAAGACTTGACAAGAACAAACCTTGGTATCTAGGTGTACAGTGTTCCCGTGACCAAAAAGACCCCGCACTGAATAGCTCCATTATTTGGATTGAGATATCTTGCTTCCTTTTGTCAGTTTGATATGTGTCTGAATGACCTTATCAACCTCAAGTATGACAAGACCTATGTGTTTCAATGATTTAGTCCTCCTTGCTGAGAATCACATGTTTAGCATGCGTTGAATGAACATGAACATTTCGACAATTGGGGAAGCTCGGGATTTGGAGATGGCATTGTTTAACTGCTCTACAACGTTGCTAGTGAGAAGATTGTAGCGGTTACCAGGGAAGTAGGTGCGAGACCATTTAGCAGTTCCTATGTCTTCTAGGTATTTGTGGCATGCTGCATTTGCCATTTTGATTTTGTTGAAGTGTTTATCAAAATCCTTCCTCCGAAAAGAGAATGCAGCCTCACAGACCATCTTAGCAAGTCCTCTAGTTTTTGTACCGGGACACAACATTCCTCATTATGTGAACAATACATGCTCTGTGATGTGCCTTGGGGAAAACCTGATTTTTGGCTTTAATGAGGGAGACATGTCGATCAGATATGATGCTGAGTGCTCCTGAATCTACAATAATCCTTTCAACCTTTGTTAGAAACCAGGTCCAGGCCTCTTCTGTTTCCCCATCAACCACACCAAAAGCAAGAGGGAAGGTTTGGAAGTTGGCGTCTTGACCACTTGCGGTTAGGAGTACGTCTTTGTATTTGCCCGAGAGGTGAGTACCATCTATAACAAGAACAGGCCTCAAGCGGCGGAAACCTATGATAGAAGCACCAAAGGCAAGGAACCCGTACAAAAACCTAGTGTTGCCTTCAGTGTCTAGTTCGGTTTCAATAGCAGTGACTGTGCCCGGATTAGTAGCTTTTAGGCGCTCAAAATAACTAGCTACATTGAGGTAAGAGTCCTCCGCATTACCATGAGTGATGTCTATAGCAATGCCTTTGGTTCGATGGCATTTCATATACGAAGCACCAACCCGTAAATCTTCAAGGATGAGTTTCTGAAGCTGCATTGCTTTGGGGGCATCAGTTGTCTCGCCGTACTTTGACCGATATATGTGTGCTAAAACCTTGGAAGTAGCATGCCTTCTATACAGCTTCCGAGTGTCAGTATCACAGGTGTGGTCCAACTGACACTTTTTTAGAGTGTAGTAACCACATGTGGTAAGCTCCTTAGCGAGAATCCTCCATGGACAATGAACATCATGATAGCTGAGAACAAACGAGTTTCTGCTGATCCGGGTTTGCCGGAAATAAAATTGTTCTTTTATAGCGTAGATGGCGAGGCTTATTTGACAGTCTTCCTTTGAGACATACATTTTGCCAACGTACGGTTCATCCTCGTCTATATCCAAGTCTGGAACAGCTTCAGATTCATATGCGGTGTCGTCAAAGAGGGGGGGGCAACAAACTCCACTCACTGATCTCCGAGAGGGGTCTGGTTTCACGGGCAGGTGGTGTGTGTGGGGGGTGAGGCGGGTGATTTTCAGGTTTGCAGTTCGGTGGGAATTCCCCATAGACTAGTACAGTGTGGTCAAACGCATTTTCAGTGATGCAGCGGATAATATGGGGCGCAGTCTTTGGTACTGATATGCCTGCCATAATTTCAGCAGCGTCAGATGCACCAAGTGGGTCATCAATGAGTGGAGCCCAGAAGTCTCGGTCGTAGCCACGGGGTTGAACCTCATCAATATCACCAGGAAGAGAAGCATCAAACTCACTAGCGTCATCGTCATCAGAGACCCAGGTATCAGGTATGTTGCGAGGATCTTCTTTGAACAGTTCTTCAAGTAGCTCATCATCGCATAGAAGGGTCTCGTCAATAAGCGATAACCGTGGGGTTTTTGATGGAGCAGAGCTACCAGCATCTGCAAATTGATGATCCAGTTCATCGTTGGTGTTCAAAGGGAAGGCTGGAATCTGTGAGGGGGGGTTTGGAAGCTGGACCGGTGGGAAACTTTGAGTTTGTACAAGGGACCTCTCTTACGTTGTACAAGTGGACAGCTTTGAGGCTGTACAGGTAAAACAACCCTGGGTTGTACATGTATATGACTTTGTGGGTGTACAGCACCGACGGAAAGATGTTGTACAGGTGGACAACTCTGATGCTGAACATCCGGAATTTCAAGTTCATCATCACTGAAAAGGTTGAAACCTGGAATGTGAGAACCATCGGTTGAGGAGGAAGAGAAAGGAGTGAGTTTCCTTATGATATGTTGGTTGGGAGTCGTGAAAGGCAATAGGCTCTCACTAACTCGGGTAGTCTGAGGGGCACTGAAGGTGACAAACAAGTTGATTCTTTTGTTTGCTTGAAAGTGCTGGTAGAAGTAGGAGACAGCACCGTCGCTTGTAAGGATTACTGGGGGTGTGGTTAGGCCGGTGGCAAGCTCCTTCGAGTTGGGTGGCCAGTAGCTAAGTACACCGGTACGAAGGGTGTCATCAGAACCAAAAAACTCCCTAAACACACTACTCAGCAACTCAGTCAATGGTATCCCCTGGCGAATTGGTACAATCCTTGTCATGTTCTCTTTGTCTATAGAGAAGTTCCAGTGGTTGTCTGAAGAACTGACCCACTGACCGGCGATAACCATACAGTGGTCAGACATTGGATTAACCTGCAAGTGTAAAAATGATAATCTCAGTAACGATTAGAGCTAATAACGATTACTTAGGACTGATAATCTCTGTAAAAACGTGGATGTACCTGGGTGATTGTAAAACTGGGTGAAAATAAGGGAGGTGAAAATCTCTGTAAAAAGAGCTGAGGTGAAAAGAGAAGAACGATGAAGATGGAAGGTAAGATGGGAGTAGCTGTGGTAGAATCTGAGCCATCGGTTTGGGGAGAGCTGATACACATCCAACGGCCCAGATGGAAACATAAAATCTGTCATGTCTAGATCTGTATAAGTGCATCTGGACTGTCCGTTTTTTCGAAGATCAATGGCTGACATTTAATTCCACCTTTTATTGACTCTAGTTATGGGTGTTAGTAACCCAAAAATTTAACTGAAAATCATTGTTTACTTTTGTTTCTAACTAATACGAGTAATAAGTGCTTTAGTATACAAAAGTGACTCAGGGTGTTAATCATAAATAGTAATGTGACTTTGATTGTAAAGTTCTCTTGTTTTTATATTAATATATGAAGAAAAAGGACTAGAAAACAACTAGCGTTCCTATACTGTAGTTTTCGGCAAAATAACCGGAAAGAGAGGAAAGGACATGAACGTGAATAGTTTTTCAGATTGTCCTACAGAATAATCATAAAAGTCTCCAGCAAGTAGTAAATATTGTTCTTTTGTTTGCAAAACACATTTGAAAGTTTATGAAAACTGATGAATATTTTCAGAAAAGATAACTAGTAACCGAAGTTTCTCAAACAAGAATGCAAGGAGGAATGGTGAGAGAAGCTGAGAGAGGGAAACTAGAAGCACACTTGTTTCCATAACTTTAATGAGGCCTATCCCCCAAAACTGGATGCCAACAAGTGAGAATAAGAGAAGAGTTTCAAGATCTACGGACAACAGCAGTGGCGAAATAAGGATGGTGGGTGAACTCAAACGACACCTTAAGCGAACTGTCCTGACTGATGAGGTTCACAGCAACAATATTGTGTTCCGCGACTTGTTCTAGTCCCCTGACTTCAGCCAATTTATCAGGATCTTTGGCGAAACCGACCTTTATGTCTCTAGCGATCTTTTGAGCGTTGCGGAAGTACTCTTGCACAGGAAGGTACTGCAGTAGACGTAAATGATTATCATACAATATTCTACAATGATGCTGTTCTATGATTCACTTTGATAAAGTAAATGAGATTGAGCATAAAACAAAAAAAAAGTGGTTGCATAGATCACTTACGTCGAGACGAGTATGAGATGTGGACTTTGTAAATGATTCATATGCATCATATTCGGGAAGCGATGCCTTCTGGAGGAGTTCAAAATGCTGAGTGAATTTCTGCGCATCATCAAGGAAAAATGGTAGGAGTTCAAAATCCTTACTCCTCTCAACTCAAAAACTATGCAACAGGGAAGGGACTTATGCTTATTACCTCACTTTCAGTATTAAAAGGTCCTTCACTCTTTAAACACATCCCTTGATTTCTTAAAGCCGAAAGCATCTATAGGTGAACCACAAGGTTTTGGTCAGGTTGAAGAAAAGCAGATGATAAAATCAACGGAAGGAGCTTGAAAGCCAGACACTGAAGAAAGAAAACGTACCACCGTGAGCCCTTGTGCAAGGCAAGTCTGACACTGGAGAAGCAATACCCATAGACTTATCCGATCTTCCCGAGCCATATTCCTATGATAATTCTTATTCTTCTTTGCCTTCCGTTCCTCTGATTTAAAATAAAAATACGGTAAGTCGGACCAATTATTCTGAAAAAATCAAATGGATATATGAATGCTTACCAGTGCTAACTACAATTAATACCCTGACACGTGCTCTTTCAGCGAGCTTACAAAGTGTAATATACATGTACCAATACACCATGCAAAATTCACTCGGAGAGTAGAGCTCTAGCTCAAACCCGAGTATAAGAAAGCGAAGGGCCACCCAATTAATTTGCTCTTCTAACCAACCATGAATCTGATTTAAAATGAGCAGAGACTTATCCTGAAAGGTAAACAGATGCATGTTTTAACCAAATATTTCCTCTCTGCTTCTCAATAGAGCCCAGATTTGAGGAGAAAGATAAAAGTTGTTGGAGTTTAGACTGCAGGAATATTCCTGCTAAACACAATGAATAAACCAGCTTTCAACTAGATTCAGACAGAGGTTTGATCAAATGGACCTGGCATCATTTGCAGGGCTCAGTGATAATAGTAAACATACCCCATTTTTCGAAGTGCGTGATTTATCTTGTTGCATCGCCTGACTAACATTAATCCCCATCTGCTAAATAAATGACCATAAGCGAATGAGATGCTGACACAAAACCGAAAACAGAATAATGTCCAGAAGTTTTTTAGGGTGTGCAAGCTACAGCTATTGCTGAGAATGTTAGATCAAAATCATAAATGATATAACCTGCACATTGAATATGCTCCAGTCGTTTAAGATTTTTCCAAGCTTACGCCTCTGCCATGGGGTATTAGCACAGAGTATTTTAAGAAGATTAATCATCAACTGCACCACAAAACGAGAAAAGAGATCAAATAGAGCTTTACAGCCACGAAGCTAGTCGAATATCAAATGCACCATTTAACAAGTCTTTTCTAGGATCCAGAAGGCTACCAAAGAAAACGAAAAACATTACGGTCAGGCATTCTGATCAAAGTCCAAACAAAACCAGATATTTATATTTATTACAAGAAGAAAACTTCGTCATCATATTGAAATTCTCTGATTCTAGTGACTTAAAAGGCAGACACCATTTGCATTAGTCTAATAAACCACTAACCAAACTCCACTTTAAACAGAGTGCCTCAGAAGAAAAATTAAGAGCTATCTCATACATATTTGTAAATCGAACTATATGTACCCCATGTCCCTTTTGATATACCATCTTTACCTGACTAAGTTGAAGAATGTACTCATTCTTTTGAAGGACATGGTCTTTTGTGACATCTAATGCAACAGCTCTGGCAAAAATATCGAAAAAGGTATCACGGCCATAAAGTTTCCCATCTTGCACAAGGAGAAGCTGTAGAACAAGAAAGATCATTTAGATAAAAGGTAAAAGGCATTATGTTGGATATTCATAAATCCATCAGTCCTAGGTTTGTACAACTGATCTTTCAGAAATATAGGACAATTCTACCATAATCATATAGTTCACCCACTCAACGCCAACTCTAAAGCTGAGTTGCTAACAAACAAATATTCTACAATGCAAACACAACCCAGTGGATGTATGTTAAGATGTCTTCCATGATAAACATCATCAGCTCCAGCGCAATCACATCCAATACACGAAACAATGAGAAAAAAAATATGATGGGTATGCGAAAGCACAAAACTGCAAGAAACTAAAGTATAAAATTAGGGTAAGGCACCTGTAGATGAGCCCTCGAAACCAAATCAGGGCGAGATTTTTGAAACTGAATGACAAACTGCAAGACAAAATCCAAATCCGGTTCCATTGACAATGCACAGATCTGATCCAGATTGTGAAGAAGTTTCACATAATAGTCAAGAGCCTGGAGAATAAATTTTGAAAATGTTGTTACAAATCAAAAATTATTTCAGCCTCTCTCTCTCTCTCTCATAATATTATTATGTATAAAAGAAATTGGATGTCCCAACCTTTTTCCAAGAAAGAAGCTTAATGTCACGCGGTGGGGTTGGAGCTGATAATCTTTTGTTTAAAGTAGGATCAAATCCAATTGGGTAACGACCTGACGCAGTTGTCCTTTCATCTATCTCGTTTTCGCCATTTTTAACAAGATCTAAGCTTAGAAATTCCGCTGACTCCAGAACTGAATCTAGCTCTGATAAGCAAGATACTATGTGTTTCCTCGCCAATTCAAAGCCCCGTCCTTGTGGTCTTTTCATACAATTCAGAATGTGCAGAAAATGCTGAAAGATATTGAGAAAATGTTAAAACAACTAGCAATGCGCAAGTCTATTACAGCTACTAGGAAAAGAAAAGGCTTAGGGAACGAAATTATATATACATCACAACTCAACGAGTTCTTTATCCATAAGTGAGGAAACTAAAGCTGCCAATTTTTTAAGTATAATCTCCGCTAGGATTGTTCATCCTTGTCAGTTTAAAACTTAAAACATATGACACAAAGAAACAAATGGTAGCTCTGTCTGCCAATCCCTAAGAAAAGCTACTACATCATACTAATGTTTCGTGTGGTCAGTAAATCAGACAGACTTAACTCTGGAGAATACACCAAATGCACATTTTAACTGCCAATTTAAGTTTTGTTCTTCGATGAGCAGCATAATATTCAATTTTACTTAAGGAACTGATTCGTAAAAGCAAACACCAATTAACATGTCCGCCAAAGTTAAGAAAAGCCATAAATAACGAATAAAATATAACATCTAATGATCTACCAAAGAAAACATAAATAAAGCATGAGACCTTACGGAAACGTAACCGGCATAACAAAGCTTTGCAAAAGCTCTCTTCCAAATGGGGATTAGTTTGTAGAGGTTCCAATTCTGCGTCATTTAAAGAAAACAGAAAGCCATTGGTCTCAGTTCGTGCTGCTGTGCAGCAGTGTTACAAATAAACAATGGACCATATAACTCAGAGAGATGTTAATTTTGTTTGGAAGACAAAATAAATTGAAATGCTAAGCAGACGTAACTCTATATCATCTCTGAGCAAGGCTCACAGGTATCTCATATAGGCAAGAGAGCAGTTGCACAATATCAAGTTCAAATTCATGATGATGTCTCGAAATCCAAACTAACTATTATACGTGTAAACAATATCTTAAGGAAAGAGGTCAAAAACTCCACCATTCCGTATTTGTACCACGATTCTGCAAGTGTCAAAGTGTGCGCATGAGAAAAGGAGAATTACAAAACGAGAAAGTACCTTTCAACGATTTCCTTTTTGATGATGTGGCCTTACAAGCACGCAGCTGACGACAAATTGTTTCTTCGACCGCATTTAAGAGTGACAATCCCTTGGCATCCTCATCTCCACTGAAAGGAAGCCCATACGTCATGGTAAGAAGATCCTCTTCCTGCTCGTAAGTAAGTGACTAGTGAATCATTTTGTGCAAAATATTCATGAAAGCAGAGCAGGGGATTTGTCTGAGTCAAGAAGAGAGAGTCCAATGCAAAAGCTTTTATCCAAATATCACCAATTCATTGATTTTTCTCAAGTTATTCATCTGCATATCTAACAAGTAATTTCCCCATCCGCTAATCATGTCAAGATTTACAAAAGCAACTGCTTATGGTTACTAAAAACAATTTATTAACAGAGGAGACCAAAATGAATCCTATTTTCGTCTCGGATGTGTTGTCTACAAGCAGGGAAAGGTGACTTCATATCAAAAGAATCTAAGAAGTAAACATGGAACACAAACTAAACCACATAATGACAAAAAAAAAAACTTAGCAATTAAAGTCTGTAAAAAGTAAATTACTTCATTAGTGCGTGCCTCGGAAACAAGAGAAACAACAGCCCTGCAAGTTGCTCGAACGACCCTACAATAAGAATGCAACAGAGGATCCGAAGAAGTCCTCTCAGGCCTCAGAACATATAAGCATGAAAACACAGTTTGTGCCAATGAATGCCCCGTGTGCCACGTCGCCTGCCAAAACCAGTAGAGAGATCAAACTAAACATATAACGCTAACAAAAGACACAACATATAAATAAATGAAGAAGAAAGAAGTGGTTGATTTTTACCTCGCACACAAGAAGATGGTCCATAATGTCGATAATGCTTTCCACATTAACACTCGTATCAGAGCTTATAGGGACGGGAGCAAAGCCACTTTCGATAGCTTCATCGATTGAATAAAATGCAGACACCATACCGGAATCCATCTTTGGGTCCATTATCTAAGTAAAGGGAGTAGTCAATTAACTAGTGCAATTTTTTCTAAAGATTGAAATTAACTGGGGGAATTAAAACCTCTAAGGCAGACATGGCGGCGAAAAGATTGAAGTTATCTCCGTGAATGAGCTCGCCATCATTGAGATCTGCAAAAAGAGGATACCAAATCAGGTAAGGATGGAACATAGAGAGATAAAGAGAGGGAGAGGGAGAGAGTACGAGTGCAGGCGGCGGAGAGGAGAGGGGATACATCGGCCCAGACGTGATCGTCGCAGTTTCTAGAAGATTCTTGTTCACTGATTGGTTGCATCGCCAATCGCAGGGTCTGTAATCGAATCGAATAGAATTGGCCGCTTGCTTCAGCAGGTTTGAAGGTTAATTAGCTAAAGGAAACAGAGACACACATATACCCTAAAGATTAAATGGTTAACAATATATTATTGTCTTTTTAAATATACTAAATGCAAAATATCATTTTTTAGAAAATTTCAATGCCCCAATTATATTAAACACGAAATTAATATTCCATATATTATTTAACTAAAAAATAAATATTACAATTTTACAACTTGCTTAAAAATGTTAACTGTTATAAAAAATGGAAAATAAAAATAAAAATATTGACNTACAACTTGCTTAAAAATGTTAACTGTTATAAAAAATGGAAAATAAAAATAAAAATATTGACAAAACATTATTATCTTTTTAGATATACTAAATATAAAGTATATTTTATACAAAAAAATAAAAATATAATAGTAAAATAGTAAAAGCAACAAAAATCGTCTTACAAAAATAAAATAAATTTAATTTATTTTTTTTAAAATATCATTGTTTCTAAATCTATACTATATAAAAGTTGAGGCTATAAGCCATTGAGAGCGTCCACGTAGGATTTAAGTCCTCCAATCGTAAAATGACACATCATTATTTTAGTTTATTATTTTTAGAAAATGTCATTGTTTCCAAATTATATTAAAAACGAAATTAATATTCCATATATAATATAACTAACAAAATAAATATTAACATTTTACAAATTACATAAAAATGTTAACTTTTATTAAAAAAATGGAAAATCTATACTATATAAAAGTTGAGGCTATAAGCCATTGAGAGTGTCCACGTAGGATTTAAGTCCTCCAATTGTATAATGACACATCATTATATTAATTTATTATTTTTAGAAAATGTCATTGTTTCCAA